GAGGGGGGTGGGGGAGGGGGAGACTAATTTTAAAACCACCCAAACTTCCTTGTCTTCATATTTATGAGTGCCTCCAATGCAGCTCATTTTGACACCAGATGAAGTCAGCATGGCTTGGTGTTAATTCAGTTCCTATGGCATTAGAATTTTACTGATGGTATAATGAGTCTTTGAGATAGTCTGAGGTCCCACTTCACTCTGCTGAATAAATGATTTCTAGAATCTCTACAGCATGGGTGAGCTTTCCATCCTACCTCCTTGGTGACTGAAGCATTTCCCCACCCCACCCCCAATTCCCTAGGGAAAAAAACAACTGGGTGAATAGTCACAAATTCCCAGGAAGCATAAGAAGGTAACTGATAGGACTTAGACAAATTCTCCCTGGTTCAACTAATAGTCCCATTCCTTCTAGACCTTGGGTATGGACTGCTTTCTCTGGCAGTCTTATGATAGCGTAAGCAGTGGGGTTAGGTGAGGGGATGATTTGAGTAAGTGTCCCCGTTCAATAAGTAAGCCCTAGAGAGACCCTCCCCTCCTCTTCCCACTCCAGACACAAGGTGTCTTTTTTCCTTCTTGGGAGTAACAGATTCTCTGACTCCAAGGCTACTATCCCCACAAAGGACATTTACTTACAATTCCAGCTGAACTAAGAGATGTAAAGGGATGCCATACAGGAGACAGGGGTGGATCCTTAGTCCCTGCCTACCCTTATTCATGATTCCTGCACCTAGAGAGGCCAGGGCAGGCCCTCAGGCAGTAAAAACTACTTGGTCCAGTACTGAACAGCACTTCAATAAACACTTTTCCTATTTTTAACTTTTATTTTTGAGACAGGTCTCAAACTTCCTCTGCGGCCAAGTATGACCTTGAACATCTGATCATCCTGCTTGGACTGGGGCTGTAGCTCAGTTGGTAGAATGCTTGCCTGCTATGTACAAAGCTCTGGGCTCCCTCCCAGTACCACGTAAACTGGGTGTAGCACTGCACACCTGTAATCTCAGCACTCCAGGAGGGTCAGAAGTTCAAGGTCAGCTATATAGGAGTTTCAGGCTAGCTTTCTGTTCATGAGATCCTGTCTCAAAAACTAAATAAATATTGATATAATACATTTAGTTAAGTTTAAAAAAAGACTAATGCATTGAAAAATAAACAAAAACATTAATAGAGGAGCTTAAAGATTTCCTTTTTTTAAAACCATACTTTATTTTAGGGATAACATAATTTACATATTAAATAATGGATAGTTTACATGGCTTACATATTAACACTATAATGGAATGATTTTTTCACATAGTTTTAAACAGAAGAAAAAGGGAAAATTTTTAGATTTTTTACTTTCTCCTATTTTCCAAATTTCCTCCAATTATAATAACTTTTTAAAGATAAAAATAAACTCTAAATTATATGTCCTAATAATAGTGATATTTAAAATTTATATTTAATGACATTAGCTTGGTAAATGTCATCCTTTCTCTTCGACTTCACCCTGACACCATCAAGGGCAAGTTTCTGAGTCAAACCCTACACTAAGACACCAGTGCAGAAGCCAAACTTAAGGAGCCACTCCTAACAATTGCAACCTCACATGGGAGACTGTCATTAGAGTCTCAACAGGCTCCTCCTTGACAGTTGACATTTTTGAGACAAGGTTGCCTGTATCCCAAGCTAGCCCAGAACTGGATGTAGCTCAGGATGACCTTGAACTTCTGATCCTCTTGCCTCCATCTCCTGAGTCCTGGGTAGGATCACAGGCTGAGCTACCATGTCCAGTTTACAAGGTACTGGAGATGCTAGGCATGGACTCTACCAACCAAACTACATCTCAATAGTTTGTTAAAGAACTACTGTTAAAGGCTGGGCATGGTGGCATATACCATTAATCTCAGCACTCAGGAGGCAGAGGCAGATGGAGCTCTGAGAGATAGAGGCCAGCCTGGCTAGTGAGTTCCAGGCCAACTAGACTACAAGGAACCCTGTCTCAAAACATAGACAAACAAACAAAAGAACTGCTGTTTAAAAAGTCAAAAAAGTGGCCCACAAAAATACAGCAAGGCTGTGAGCTCAGACTCATTGGGCCTCACACCAAGATACCTTTTTGAAACAGCAGAATAACCTACTATGCCTTGTACTAGAAGATGTTTTAATACCTATATATTTATCTAAGGACTACAAACTGAATTCTTCAAATTTCTTCAATGCTATGCTCTGCTTAGGTGAATTTGCTTCAACATTTTTGTATGAAGTCTGTGTGGTGTTTTGATTCTTTTGTTAAAAGCACAGACAATGACAGAGTCAAAGTCAATAAATGTTAATTGAAGCTGCTGGGAGCC